CCAGCAACAGCAACGGCACCTGCATCAGCGCCAACATCAGCGTCAGCATCAGCACCGGCATCAGCATCGGCATCAGCATCGGCATCGGCATCGGCATCAGAAGCGACAACAGGAACAACAATAGTCTCGAAACCTTTATTAGCAACAGCAACAGCACCAGCAACAGCAACAGCAACAGCACCTGCATCAGCGCCAACATCAGCGTCAGCATCAGCACCGGCATCAGCATCGGCATCGGCATCGGCATCAGAAGCGACAACAGCAACAGCATCAGTATCGACCTCTTTATTAGCACCAGCAACAGCATCTGCATCTGCATCAGCGCCAGCAACTATGCCAGCATTAGCACCGACATCAGCATCGGCATCAGAAGCGACAACAGCAACAGCAACAGTCTCTAAACCTTTATTAGCCCCAGCAACAGCATCTGTATCAGCGCCAGCAACTATGCCAGCATTAGCACCGGCATTAGCATCAGCATCAGCATCAGCAACTTCGCCAGCATCAGCACCGGCATCAGCAACGGCGTCGGCATCAGAAGCGACAACAGCAACAGCAGCAGTCTCGACACCTTTATCAACATCAGCAACATCATCTGCATCAGCACCAGCAGCAACACCAACATCAGCACCGGCTAGGTCCGACACCTCTGGCCCCACGGCTTCGGCTCCAGCGTGCGTCTGCGAAACGGCGACATCGGCATTGTCGCTCCTCGTCGCCTCGACAACCGACGTTGGCGACTGGCTCATCTCCACCTCGGCCGGACCCATCTTGGCCGCGTGGTTGGTTGTTTCGCTGAGCTGGTCATCAGACGGTTCGGCCGGTTCATTTGCCTCAGACGGTCGGTCGACGTGGCCCAGCCGCACCGGCAAAGGGAGGCGCCAAAGCAGACGGCTGCGGGGCTCGAACCACGGCTCGTCGGCGTCCGAAGGCTCGGTCACTTGGTAGAGAGTGTAGTTGTCGTTGTCGTCACGGGGCAGGATCACGGGCAGGCCGGTCGCCGGGTTCGGCTGGAGCAGAGCGACGAACAGAAGAAGGCACAAAATGACGACGACGGCGCTCAGGCGCCGGACCGAGTCGAGTCGAGCCGGACCAATCTCAGAGTCCGGTACCGGCCCACTCGACCAGACAGTGGGCATGACAACGCGGAGACGGCCGGAATCGGGCATCAGGTCGGAAACTGTAAATCTTGACGACTGACGGCACAACCTCTCGTTCATACAGCACAAATCTCGAATGTGTCTCTGTATGTCTGGGTCTTTCTCTCTCTAACTGCGTGTGTGTATGTATGTCTGTGTGCGTATGCCTGTATGTGTTTGGGGAGGTTTTATGTTATTTCTTCAATGCAGCCGTCTCGATGGCGGGTGCTCGGGGGCTGTCTACCGCAGGCGCAACGGTGAGTAGAGAAGCAGAGTGGAGACGAAGAAAGAAAGAGCAAAATAATGAAAGAAAGAAAGAGAGAGAGAACACCGAGGACGGGCTCAGAAGGTGCGAGTGAAGAATAGGCGAGGTGCTAACGGTCGAGTGGAGACAGAAGAGACAGACTCAAAGCAGAGAAGTGTAGACATGAGGAAGGATGACAGGTTGTTGCCAGGCGAGTGGAGCAGAAGTGGCGACGACCGAGGCGGAAAGGAGAGGCTGGGCGGATGGCGATGGAGCGAGAAAGAGAGGCAGCGAGCAGAAGGTGACCGCAGCAACGGAGGTGCTCGATCCGTCGTCGAGTCTGGTGACGGCAGCAGGCAAAACTGGTTGCTAGTCTCTGATTGGCCGGAGGAGGCACCTCAGCTCCACTGACCGCTGTCTATTGGTCACCAGAGCGTCGGAGAATGTACTGCCTCACTTGACGGTGGCGTGATGGAAAGACAGGACAGGAGGACAGCGAGAGGGTGACAGAAGACGAGGAGGGAAGTGATCTAAAGAGGTCAGATCGGATCGGATCGGATCGGATCGAATCGAATCTTCTTGTATGACCCTTCTGATATGTCCACTCGTCTCTTGGTCTACATTTTAGCTTAAAGGGCGTCTTTTTATCTCCCCAACCCGTGTCGGATGTGTTTTATGCTTTCACACGGCCACGCCATCAAAGCCAAATACAAGAATCCATGCCCACCTATGCACCTGGCCATTACTCCGTCTATTTTAGTCACATCTATCTATCCATTATCCAGCCATACACCAATCTTTCTACCCATCTATCCGTTTATCCCTCTATCCGTCCATCA